TGGCATGTTATGAGCAAGTTTGTTTTCCAACCTTGGTTTTAGGAGAAACTAGTCGATGACCTTTGTTTCGCCACAGTAATATTTGTAGAAAATTTAGTTTTATCTTCTTCTTTTAAGACACGTGTGAAAGTTTTATTGTAAACTTATTTTTTATAAGACATTTTAAATGGTATAAGAATATTATCTAATGATATCGTTCTCTTCTATGTGAGGTTGAAATTGTGTCTAAATATTAAATTAATTTCAATATTCCTAATAAAAATAAATACAAAATGATGTATTATCTATTGTGGTGCCGTCAAGATCAAGAAAAATCTCTAAATTTGTCGGGAAAAAAAATCCAAATGCTTAAAAATAACGTATTATCTTATATAGTATCAGCATAATTAAGAAAAAATCTTCAAAATTCTATGAAAATAAATAAATACTTAAAACTTATCCATATACTTGAGATTTAATACACGCACATGTTTTTAGGAAGTCTCACTCTACCACATCATCCATATACTAGCCAATAAAAACAAGATGCATAGACTAAAAATAGTCGCTCTAGCTAGTGGTTTATGCACCTCACAGGATTTTGTTTATGTGTCTTGTTTTTTTAATGGCTTGGTCTATGGATGAAGTGATACACTAAATCTATCTAATCATTTCTCTCGTTTTAGATTGAGTTAAACTTGCTAAAACTTAGAGTCATAAAAAAATAATCATGACACAAAATTTGAGGGAAATGGCCCAATATATTTTTATACAACGGCGTGAGTTTTTAATTTATCTTTATATTTTTAATCGATATAACTTTATTCAAAACTATATATAAAAACACAAAATCTTCAAAAAATTAATATTATATTAATATTGTAACATATATTCAATGTTAGTATGTACCTTGTGAGCATTTGACTTCAATCAGTCAGGTCAAGCTTTACTTATTTTTTATTGATTTTGATTAAATTGGATAAAAATTTAATCCAACTTGATTAGATAAAATTAGATACCTGGAAAATCAAGTGAAATTGTCCTTCTTAGTTCTTATAAAATGATAAGTTTTAAGTCTGTCATTTTGTTAAATTTTTCCAACCAAGTTAATAGAATCATATGCATATGATTCAACATTATATCGAAAATGACAAGTTTGGTGGTGGACAAGACAACCATCGAAGTGAGAGAACAGAGAGAGGGGAGGAAATGGAGACTTTAGGGAGGAAAAGAGGTCTGGTTTAGTATTAATATTTTTTAAAATTTCTTATGCTTGTCATGTGGCGGCCTTGATGAAGGGAGAGAAGGGCATCAGAAAAGAGAGAAGGAGAAAGGAGGTGAGAGGGAGGTTTTGGGAAAATAAGAGATGTCTAGTCCCCGTATGAATATATATATAAAATAGTTATTTTGTTCGCCACGTCTTTCGCATAAGATTGACAGATCCATGGAGTTTAGAGTCATTTTTTTTACATAATATTAAGTCACATCCATGTTTAATTTTATAAAGATAAGATTCACTTAATAAAGGTATAAGAATAGATTAAAAACTCATGTCATTTAATGTAACACAGTCTTGTGAGCTAAACAAAAAGGATAAACAAAAGCTTAATAATCACGTATAATTCATCTCCATCTTTCAAAGCCTTTAATTTGTATCTTTGAAACTTATATAGGTTCGTGTTTAATTTTTAATTTCAATAATAAGAAAGAATATGATAGTAAAGTTTAAATTCATAACATCTTTGTCAATAACACTCTAATGACATACAAAAATCACTCGATCAGAAAATTAACACTATCAAGCAAACCTAGAAAGGAAAATAATAAGGGAAATTTTTTTGTAATATAATTTATTGTTTATCGTATGTGTTTCTTGACCACCTATATCGTAGTATAAAATATTAATCTTATTGTTATGAGACAAATATTTTGTGGCATGAATGATTTCGTTACACATGATTTAAGGAACTATAACTATCATTTGGATTTTGATTGATAAAATCAAATTTAGTTTTGAAAAAAACAACGAAAACATAAAGGAGGTTTAATTGCGAGTTTGGCTTTTCTTTGGAGATAATACAAGTTTTGTTCACAATCAGTACAGTAATACCAATATTTCTTTATGTACTTTCAATCTAATACATTATCATGTTCACGAAGCATGGACAAGTAACATACTAGCACAATGTTTAGAACGGTGTTTTCTTTTTTCTTTTTCTATTTAAGGTTCGATAATAATATTATGTTTGAATAAGCTATATATCAATTGAGATTAATTTTTTCTCTATATCGCTACCCGACGTCGGACAAGACTTTCAAAAATTAAATTTTCTTTTACGAGTTTATTTACGGGTTTGGAATCGTCATCTAGTGTTAATGAACTAGGAACCTTAAAGTAAGCACTAGTTCGAGGATTCTATGGTAAGGAGTTGGTTATACTTTTAGGAAGACATTTATTAACCCAAAAGTGTCATTTCCGAACAAAGGTACTATATCTAGTTTAGTCCAAAATTTATTTCCTAAATTACTTATTTATGCCAAATTATTTTCTGATTTAAACAATTAAAATTTTTTAGTTTTAGGCATGACATCGTATTGAAACGATCGTCGGTCCACTTCGTCGAGCGACACGTCGGTTTAAACATTTTTGTTTTTGTTTTTTTTCTTGTTTCTTTTTTTTTCTTTTATTATATTTATTCTTCCTTACTCCTACTATTTATTTATTTGGGAGGCTCCCGTCCAGCCTTTCTCTTTATATTTTTTTATGCAAAGGGGAGAGGAAGAGGTAAGGGCTGGCCTCTTTCGTTTTTTTTTTTTAATTTTTTTAAAACAAAGGAGAGGGCCCTGGACTGGATTGATTGCAGTCCAACCCCTCTCTTTTTTCTCCGAAAAAAAGGGTGGGCTGGACTGCAATCCCTTTTCATTTTCTTTTATCCTCCTGCCACCTCTTCCTCTCGTTCATTTCCTCTAACGCTTCCTCGAAATTAGCACCCAATTCTCTCTCTTCTTTTTTTATTTTCGAATTCAAGTAACTGAGAAGTTAATCTAACAAAAAGTAATGGAATTATTTTAGCATTAGGATTACCTAGGCAAGAAAAAAAACAGAGGAATGAAGGATAATTTTGGGACCTTGTTGTTGTGGTTGTTGATTTTACAGGTTAGGATGATTGCGTCTGACTGGATTAATTGGAGGCAGCTTGCTCGAGAATTAGTTGATGATTGGGAATTAGGCAAACGAAAAGCTACTGTATATCTAAGTCAAGAATCCCGTGATGGACTGAAACAAAACCCAGAAGAACTAAAAAAAAACTAACTTCAGAACCCCCTAGACGAAGAACACCTACCTAGAAACTTGAAGGCAGTGAGGAGTATAATGAACTCCTGCCTAGAATTCTTAAAGAAGAAACTAAAAAATTTGATGAATTGAGTCCCAAATCCTTGGAGGTGAAGTCGAGAGACCTATTTGGGAACAAAATGGAACCCAGCAATAACCCGAAAGAAGGAATCAAATAGCCGACATCTGAAGCAATAAAAACCCAACAAATGAAGAACACCAAAAACATTGTAGCTAATGCCCAGAAAACCCAGAAAAATGCAGCAACTATTTCCCCTAAAATCTTTCGATTTTCAACCTTTTTCAATATCTCCTATCTACCCATAATGCTTCTTTGCTCTACCCTGAATTTCCTTTCCCTTTTATAGACATCTTAATTCAAATCTCATTCCAACTCAAACACATCAAAACTCGGATTTTTAGCTATACAATTTGAACTCAACTTCAATTATTAATCTGTGATTCTGATTAGCTAAACAATAGGGATAGGTTGAATTCAAAAAATGGTCAGTGGATTAGGATAAATGTTAATCGAATTTCGACCCTTTTCTTCTTCTTCGTTTTTTCATATTTTTGTATTTTTATTATTTTTTTTGTTTTTTTAAATAATAAAAATGAAAGCGAATTTTTTTTTCGGTTATGACACCCTAAACGATCTTAAAAATATATTTCTTGTATCATTTTTATGCATCTAGAAAAATTTAATAAATCTTTTAAATACTGATCTTAAAGTTTGACTAAAAAAGTCTAAAAAATAAAGCAAACTTTTGTTGACCACCAAATCAAGCTCTTTTGAGTTTTAAAATCGTGGTTTTACTGGCTAGCAATCCAATACCATATGTGTAAAAAACAAGTTCACAATAAAGTCAAATTCTTCCCATTACTTTCCGTACTATTTTTTTTAGAGGATAAGAGGATTGTCGGGTCATTTTATATGCTAACAGAGACCAAGTCCTTTTTCGCATAATCCTAAAAGTATACATCTCATATCAAATTAATGCGTTCGAAAGAATTTAATAAAATTTTCAGATGCTGCCCCAAACGTTCGAATCCGAAAAGAAAAAAAAAAAAAAGGAAGCAAACTCTTTAAACCAAGACCAACTCCTTGACCTTAATAAGTCCATACTACAGAAAACAGAAGTACAAATTAAGCCTTATAAAACAACTCACCAAGTCTGTAAATTTAGACATATACGGCTAGAGAAATGGTCTGCATATGTTAAATTCAACCAAAAAAAAATTCAAATAAATAATAAAAAACACTTGAAAGAATAAAAAAGGAACAGGGGTGTAAATGAAAAAAGTATGTAGTTTAAAGGATGAACATGAACATAATCTGCTGGAAGGACTTCAGTTCCCTAAAAAAAAAAAAAAAATTAACTAGGCCAACAAAAACAAAACACGAGCCATACAAAATCTAAGCCCCTTGAATATATGGGCTTTGTAACACCATTATGGTCCGGCCCATTATAAATCATATCCAGCCCGCCCTTCCTTCCTCCATCACGTTCATAAATTCCCTCATTCCGCGCTAAACTTCCCCTTCCACAAGAAGAAAGGGGGAAAAAAACTGATCTCGACCGATCAATCACAAAAAAACGAATTGGAGAGCGAGAGAGAAGAAAACCCTAACATAACCAAATCATTTCATTTAATTTCTTTATTGTATATAGCGATAGTCAGATAAATGGCATCTTCATCGTCTTCTTCTTCAACTCCTTCATCGTCTTCAAAAGCGGGAGAATCGTACTTAGGAAGCCTAATTAGCATCATGTCCAATTACGAAATTCGCTACGAAGGCGTTCTTTATCACATCAATACTCAAGAATCCGCCATTGGCCTAAAAAACGGTGCGCTTTTATATTCTTCCATTTGTACTTTTTTTAATTTATTATTATTATGATCTGTTTATATAAGCGCATGTGATGTCTATTCAACATCTCACTCGCACTGTCCAATTTCGGGTTAGCTTACCAAATTTTATTCAACAATTTTCTATTTAATAATTACACAGGTAACTAATAATAATAATAATTTAATTAATGAATCAAGGGAAGTGATGTTGTGCCGATATTGTGGTTTCTGAGTAATTTTTGAGAGTGATAAATTTTTTAATGTAGCACGCTTCTTTTTTTAGCTGATTTACACGAGGATTTTGTTGTAATTAGAAATTTGCCGCAATTCTGTGAGTTATTTCATTATATTTCTATGTTTTTTTTTCCTTTTTAGTGGTGGATATTGAATGAAAGTTTCGATAAGTTTTCTGCATTCATTTCTAAAATGCTGCATTTCTGGTAATACAATTGCTTATTCATTTGCTCCTAGTGCGTGGTAGTTTGTGGTTGTATAATATTAATATATTTATGTTCAATTCTTTGATATGAGAGACTAAATTTTTCTTTGCCTATATGAAATATCTGGAAATGTTTTTTTTTTCTTTTTTTTTAAAAAAAGTGAGCTCATAAATTATGCTACAGTGAGGTCTTATGGAACGGAGGGTCGTAAGAAGGATGGACCACAAATTCCCCTAGTGATAAGGTGTATGAATATCTTCTATTTCGTGGAAGTGATATTAAGGTAAGCGAGGGATTATTATCTGCCTTTCATCTGAATTTATTTCCAGTGGCCTTTTTGTCTATGCTTTTGTCGTAACTCTATGTTGTTACTTATTCTGTGCTTTAAAAATTGAATTACTGCTTTATTCAATTATTTTATATGGAATTTGTACAACTGATTAGCATCATGAATCCTCATCCCTATTCCTGTTCAGAACAGAAAATGTTAGGTTTCAACTGATATTTCAATGTGATGCTGTCACCCATAGAGTTTCTGTTTCTTGTGCTAAGTGTACAAATGCTGTTTTGTGCTGTGCATGTTTATGTGCTTATTGTAATCGATTACTGCTATTTTCAGGATTTGCAAGTTCAATCCCCACCACCTGCCCAAACAGAGGAACAGATTCACAATGATCCTGCTATCATCCAGGTTTTGACATTTGGCTTATACTGAGGGATTATAAAAATTAGGAATTTGGTCTATTTTTATTCGTTCTTCTATTCCTTTGTTTTGTAGAACCATTCTCGTTTAAGTTCTTCAACTGCAGTTGGTATTCAGGCGCAAAATACACCTGCTTTGGTGACCAGAACCTATTCTGGCTCATTGCCCTCGCTTCAGCCTGTAAACCATGTTGGCTCAACAAATCTTTCCCAAACTACTCAAAATGCTGTTGCATCTCTTTCCATGCCAGTGTATTCACAAGGATACAATGGAACATCTTCCCATCAGTCGATGGTTTCATCTCCCTTAATAGTTCAGAATCATATGCAGGCTTCTGGATTGCATGAACCTCCAATTATGGGATTTAAAAGTCCTTCAGAATGTGGTACTCTCGAATCAGCAGTTGCAGCTAATCCATTAAATCCTATTTTTTCATCTTCTCTTCCAACGGTACAATATGCAATTTCTCCTGACATACCATGTTTCTTATCTCTGAAGACACCTGTTCCGTCTCATACTGCATCTCTTCCTGCTAATAGATTAACCATGTCTTCGATTCCCGTGTCTAGTCAAGACAAAAACACAACTGAAACTCTAGCTTTTGCAGACCCCATGTCAATGCGTCCTACCCAATCTACGCCTTACCTCACGCCATCCTATGTTGGTTCTACTTCTAGCTCTGTGTTAGCACCACTTCCATCTCTTTTAAGTCCTCATCATTTATTACAATCTAGACCACCAGTGCTTTCTTCCACACAGAAGCTGTACCCTGGCCAGAAGGATGTAGCACAGAAGCTGTACCCTGACCAGAAGGATGTAGCTGTTCTGACTCCTTTATCCTCTACATCACCACCCTTGCTTTCTACTCCAGCATCTCAGCCACCATTATTACCATTGCCAGGTTCTGTACAGCAGGTTGGATCCCTTTCACTCTTTCCATTAAAGTTCTCTACATTTTACATGTATTGTTGTATTGTCTCTCTTGCAAAAAATATAACAGTTCTGAAGGTGCTTTCCTGTTATCTTTTTGTCAACTTTTGTCTCAGCATAAATACTTGACCTCGCAATTTACTGAAGAATTCAATTTTGAAGCCATGAATGAGAAGTTTAAAAAAGATGAGGTTTGGGGTTATCTTGGAAAGGCAAAGCAAAGAGAGAAAACTGAGGGCATGGAGGATTATACAACTGATGAAACCATGGTGGACAAAGAGGCTCCTGTTGTGGTGCCTGATCCTGATCCTAAGGTAGGTCACTGATCCCCCCACACCAACCCCACCACCCCCCCCCCCCCCCCCCCCCCCTCATTTTTAGCTAGATATATTTATGAAACTTTAAATTATTAAATCCCAGCAGTTGAAGATTTAGAAATTATATACCTCCCTTCTCAATGCTAACCATTATTGTTTCTTTATTCAGCCTGCCTATAAGAAGGATGAATTCTTTGATACAATTTCTTGCAACATACGCACTCAGGGGAGGAGTGGGCAGAACCGTTTCTCTGAGCGAATGAAGCTGGATACTGAGGTTTGCTTACAAGAGATGATTTTTAATTTGTGCTGCAAATTACTTAAGATTTGATGATATATTGATATCCTGACATTATTTTCTTTTACCAGACTTTTGGCAACTTGCATCCCAGACCCAATTTGGGTTATGGAGGCATTGGTTCTGGACGTGGTGATAACTACCATACCTCACGTGGTCGGGGAAGGGGATATGGTTATCGTGGGAGGGGGCGTGGGTACATTGGTTTCTGACGCCATCTGATTTCATTAGTCTCTGGAGATATATTTGCTTCTGTACGTTATATCTCTGCCTCACCTCATTTTCAACTTTTGTCATGAATGAGTTATGGTAAAGGATATGGGACCATGGGGACCTTTGTCTTAGAATATCCAGTTGAGATGTCTATTAGGAACTGCAGGAATGAACACTTACGGCTAGTTCATGTTTTTTTGCCAATGAGCCAGCCTCTCACTTTTACTATCATAAGGAACATCGATCTTAGATGGTTGATTTATATGTTTAGGAGCCTATTGTTCTTGTGCTTTCTTTTTTACTTAGATTAGTTGTGTCTGTCAATGCTGACAGCTCCATTTTACCCATCATCTGGATTGTAAATTGCCGACAGGCTTTTCTGGAATGAAGGCATAAAACTCTATTCTGCTTAGTAATATCAGATCTATTTGCATTTCTACAGAAATGTAATCTGTGAAATAGTTGGTTCTGTTTTATGCGTAGGATGTTATATAGAAATTTTGTGACTTGAAACCACAATCTGTTATTGACATCACTGTGATTTGACCTCTCTCGAATGTCTCAGTTTAGCCCTTTGTTTTGGATTAAGTGGCGGTTGGCTAGGTCTGGCTTTCAAAATGCTTGTTGGTAATAAATCTTTGGTCTCAATACAAATAAATAAAACTTACTAATTCATTTTTTTTTAATCTCTTTTGGGGATTTTGTGGTTGATCCTGCTGATTTTAGATTCTTAAATTGGAGAAGAGTTTGCGTTAAATGGAATAAGTTCTGGTACGGAGACCAGTCAAATTAGGAAAGGGATTAGGTTTGCCCGTCAGCCCAGACTTGGTCGTAAAAGGATGACTGGATGAGTGATCTTTTGTTTGGTTTGTCATATATATCATAAGTGCAATTAGTTTTAGAAGTCAGATACGTGGTCATGGATGAAGATCTATCCTTGTCCTGCACTGTTACTCCTGAGGGATGTGTACAAAGAAGCCTAGTTGCTCCTGATAAAATGCAGAGTGGGTTTAGAAATTAGGGGAGCGGTGGGAGGTGAGGTTAATCCTAGTTTCTTGTCCTGCCAAACAAGTTCAACCTTGCTCGGAGGGAATTTGAGGCTCCCAATCAGGAGGGGATCCACAATGCCCCATTCCCACAATGCCACAATGGGGCCTTAGAGTTAATCTATAAAACTATTTACAGAAGAGATCTCTTCTATCTACTTTTCATAGACTAGCTGCTGTGCTTATATCTATCTGTACATTTTCTAAAGAGTCCGCCGGTTAGTTAGGTGAATCATATTTGGTGTAGTGTGAAATGGAAAGTCTCTTCTTTTACGGTTAGTGCTTTGCTGTCCAAAGCTTCCGCAATTGTTGCCTGATGGAGATTTTCTTTTTTTGTAGTCCATATGCAACTTTTCAGTTGTTTCCCTTTCCTTATTCTGGTTTAGCCCCCGTAGAGCTTCAGTGGGATCTTGGCATTTTGTGTCGACTTAGCAGCTGAGCTGGCTTTTTTTTTTTTTTTTCGTTAGTAAAATTTACTTGCCAAAAATAAAAAAAATCTGGCCATGAGACCTCACACTGTCGGTTAAAAAAAAAAAGAAACTTAAATAACTGTCTCATTCGTTATGTTTGAAAATTATTTCTTTTGAACATTCCAAGGGCACTGGAAGTCTGCCGCGTGCCTTTATTCTTTTCCTTATCTCGTCCCAACCAATCACACAAAAGAAAAGAATGGTAATCCTATTTGAAGCTAAAGCCTTCTTTCTGTCATGTGGTATAGATATTACATGGTGGAGTTGTGCCCCCTTATTGGCATGTGGAGATTAACTCCATCTCTTCTTATTATACCCAAATACAATCTTTGTTTTTTTTTGTGTGTATGTTTCTTTTTCTGTCTGTTATTCATCCAACTTGTGCATGTATTTTTCTTACTTGTTCTGCTTCTGCCGTTCTGAGCGTAACGATTGCCGAGCCAAGTGTGGCGGCTGTGGTAACCAGGACTAGAACCCCGGAGCCAATATACACTCCATCTTTGACTACGTAGCATTCATGATCCAACCATCCTTTCCCATAGTCTTGCCTTCTGCTCATACTTGTGGCTGTGCTTAATAAAATAACTGCAATTCCAAAGCCGATCCTGCCAGATCCATAATTATATTATTTCGATTAAGACCATGTTTTTTGTTATCATTTTAATTTAATCATTCTTCCTAGACGTTGAATCTAGTGGTGGTTTTAGGAAACTCTGGCACTGCCAGCTGTCCATGTTCGTTAGATTAGAGTCTTAAATATACTAATGACTGAGATCATTCTAGCCTTCTAGTTGCCAGCCAAAGTCACTGCCCCACATAACTCTATCTGTCCATCCCGTAATTAAACATACGAGCCCTAAATTTTCTCAACCTTTAGGATGTAATGAACAATTATGACGTGCTCTATTACAGTATCTACATTCATTCAAGTTCTACCTAACATAGACAACTGATATCTATGTATGAACTAGGGATGTGTATGTTTTAGCAGTGGAAAGCCGTGTACAACTATAGGTGTACACACACACACACACACACACACACACGAGATTTGATTGATCACCTACCAGGAGAAAACCAGGAGTCCTGTTGCAATCTTTGGTTTCTTAGCCTTGGAGTTGTTACTGTTCTCTCTGCGCCGAAAATGGGTGCAGATTACTAAGTTTCCGATGACTTGAGCAATGACTAGACATATCAGAGCTGCAATACCAAATCCAAATGCTTGACTTTGTGGCAACTGACACAGTTTATTGCTCAATTTGAGATCCTCCTTCTGTAAAACACCCCAAAACAATTAGGAAACGAGTCAACTTGAATTTTTACAGTAAAGATACACAAAAGGTGAACAAGCAAATCAAGTACCTTGTTTTTCCTGGACTCAGCAATAATACAAGAAACAAAAGAGACGAGGGCGAGGGAGATGATGGTGGAGAAAATCAGCAAGAACCCATATTGGTGTTTAGCCATGGTGGAGAAGTAGCGTATCTTGTTTGGGTTGGTATAGTAAAAGAATAAGATAACTGGAGGCTTGGAGCTTACTCAAGGAATAGAAAGATAGGGTGGTGTTCTCTTGATATTGTTGCTCCTCCTTGTCATCGTCTTTCCTTCGAGATAGCTGAAGCTTTCTTCCAGACAAGTCTTTCATTGCTTTGAAGGAGAGATACCATTCCTAATGTTTCCTTCTTTGACATGGAGCCGGCCAACTGTTTCTATTTTGGTTTGCTTTGCCAAGACATGACAGATCCCTATAGACAGAGAGAGAGAGAGATGATAAAATAAGAGGGAGCCGGGAAAATTGGAGCTGTATTTTATTAAAGATATGATTAAAGGGCCAGGTGGGATTGCGGATTTTGTGAATTGTAGCAACTACTTTTTATTCAGAGAAGAGATGGGTATTTCCGTATAATTAAAATTTGCTTGACCTTGGGCTGTTAGTTGAACTAGAGGGATCATTTAGGGGTCAAAAAGTGAAGGATTTGAAGTGATTATTGTTTTTATATGGCTCAAGTCGCGTACATGATTCCTATCACCGTATCTAGTCTTTCTTCTAAGAGTACAAAAAGATGTAGTCTTTCTCCTACTAGTACAAAAAGATGTGAAAGGGCGAGGGAGAGAGATCCGAGGAAGGCAGTATTAGTAATGCAGCTATTGACTTGAGTGGGTGAAAGACTTTTCAAATTAGGATCACATCTGTAAGCTCTGATTTTGAATTATTGATTCTTTCAATGTGTCTTCTGAGAAATTTCCTTAAAGTTGAAAATTCCTCCACTCTTTTTTTCCTTCTTTTTTCCATTAAAAAATGTGATGTATCTGGGACTTAGTTAGGTCCCAAGCATCCATCTTGCAGATAGGGATAGTATACTTGGATGGTCTGTTTTCCACTCGTTCCTATTTGGCGTGGATGTGCTAGTGCCACATGGCTTCAAATATTCTTCCAAGTTTCGTTTGCAAAATCACGAGTATTGAAAAAAAAACACCCACTCTATACTCTACGGTGTCCTGAAAACGCCAATTGATTTCTAGCTTGGATTTGTTCCTACGCAACTCCTGTTGCTTGGACACTTCTACTTCCATGTTCCTACCAAACTTTGAGTAGAAAACTATTCCCCGTAGACTATAGAGCATATAGAGAAGGTCTAGATGTCCTTTCCTGTGTGCATATGTCTAGTGGGCAAGCAGGCTGCCACCATTTTGGAAGGCCCAAATTGACTTGGGATCTAAGATTTTAAATAAGACAATTATCTTTCTCCGACCTTTGGTTATAAACAACATAGAGAACTTGTACAAATTTAATGGAAGGCTGGGCATTTATAGCCCATTAACATTAATCAGTCATCCGCGAAGCAGTACGCCAGGAAGCTGGTCCATTTAGCGAGCTCAATTTCTTGGTTTGCTGGCTGCTGCTGAGATAATATGTTATGTCTGGGATAAGGAAGCTTTGTTTTGTCTCAGGATAGCCATTCGGTGCTTTGGTTGTTTGGGTTTTTCAGGATTTCCTTAAGAGGGATCTTTTGTTTTTGGGTTGTAATCTGCTGCAGTTGTTTGTTTCACTGTAATAATCTTTTGTACTTCCTCACCGAATGGGCTTCATGTCCTCTTTGTTGTTTAAGAAAATAATACATAATTATTTGCTCTCTTGCAGAATTTTGAGAGTAACAGAAACTTTATTATCCCAACAAAATCATCAGCATGACAATCTCTTTAGACATAAAAGAGTAATTACCAGTACAAGTTAATAATGGCTTTTCGTCCTTCTAAGGTGGTCAGCAACTGACTGTGCAATACAGTAAGCTATAGCCTGGACTGTGACCATTGGGTTGACACCTAGAGCGGTGGGAAACACACTTGTATCTGCAACAAACAGTCCCTCTACTTCCCATGTCTCTCCCATTTGGTTTACCACTGACTCCTTTGGATTTACACCCATCCTGCAACTCCCCATCTGATGAGCCGAACATATTTGTCCTCTTAAGTCTCTTAATGGTCTTGCGCTCTCCTCTTTCACAAACCTTTCGAATTCATGGAAACTCACTTTCTTTACATTTAAGCACTTCCCTGTGCTATGATGTGTTCCGATTTCTTCAGCTCCTGCGGCTGCCAGTATCCTTAGTGTCTTCTCTAGACCTTTCTGTAGATTCTTTTCATCTTCAGCATCCATTCTGTAGTTTATTGAGCTTGGTGAATGCACCGTTCCCGATCCTCTGTCTCTTGCCAAAGCAAACACATGGGCAGTTCTTGAGAACCTGCACATTCTCCTTTTTATATCAGCTCCAGAAATCCATGGCATTAGACCTGAGAACATACCAGGATGCAATGCTGGTGTCTGTATTACTGCCCCATATCCGGACTCTTTAAAATTTGCAACCACTGTCGACATTGCCGTCATTATCCCTCCTTCGTAGCTCTTCTTCTGTTCCTCTGGCCACGCCGTGGATGAATTAGGTGCACCTGGGAAGCAGCCCCATGCCATTGTGACTGGATGGAGGTGTAAGTGTTTACCAATGTTGGCATTCCTTAAGCCGCTTGCTTTTAGCAATGCAGGAGTACTAAGAGCACCACAGGCGACAATAGTCACCTTGGACTCAACCACACACAAGTCTTTCATTCCATTGTATTCGAATCCAAAAGCTACTCCGGCTGCAGTTCTTCGATCCTTCCCTTTCTTTCGCTTATGCAAGACCTTAATGGCCTCACATCCAGGAAGAAGTGCACCATTACCTGAATTCACCAAGTCCATTAGCCATGTCTCACAAGTGCCCTTCTTCCTTCCATCCTTGCAGCCAAAACAACACCAGCCACAGTAATGATCCGGTGCGGAATTTCGAGGAATGGTGTTTACAGGATAGCCCAATTCTTCACACCCTCTTCTTAAAACAGCATTATTAAAACCTTCTTCATGAATATCAGATTGAACTCCCATTTTCTCACACACAACATCTAATGCTTCTTTGTATAATTTACTGTTAAATAACTCAAGGTCGTAGCTTTCACTCCATTCATTGATCACATGTTGTGGGGTCTTAATTGAAGCTGACCAATTGATTGTAGAACCTCCACCAACAGTAGAGCCAGCAAGAACCACTACTCCCGTATCATCGCTTGCCAACATACCTCCACCTAAGTACATTTGATCCATTGACGGTCCTTCAAGAAGTGAGAGATTGTTTCTTGCAAAATAGTTTCCTTTCTCCAAGACAAGCACTTTATAACCAGCTTTTGCTAGAACCCCAGCTACCACACCACCACCGGAGCCAGAACCAACTACTACTGCATCACATTTGATGACTAAACTAGGAGTACTGGTAGAAGAGTCCAGTGATGAGTTAACGTTTTTCCGGTGACGAATGAAGACAGGGAATTCAAGCTGACGCAGCGAGTCTGCAACTATATCCCTTGGAAGGTTGAGATTAATGAGGCCTCTGTAAAGAGGTCCAAAGAGATGCTCTTCTTTGTAGTCTTGTTCATCTTCAAAAACATCATCGTCGTCGTCTTTTATTCTTGCATATAATGTTTTTGGCAGCCTGCAGGTTTGTCTTTTGAGTGCTGCTGGGTCAGGCCCTGGATAGCCTATGGCTTTCCATGTCAAGTTCTCATTCTTTTCATCTACCTGAAAATCAATGGATATTTCGTATTTGCAAGTTAAATGCATGACATTGATTGAAAATTATATTCCGTAGCTAGGCTTTAAAGTAGCAAGAAATTAAATTAACACAAGCCCAAGACCAAGCCCAATATAGTCGAAGGATTTCAATCTTAGCCCAACTTAACATCTTAATGTCTTTGGTGGTCTTCACGGCGCCCAGGTAACCTTTATCATCATCTAACTTGTTTCTTTGTATGTTGATTGTAAGAGAAGACAAAAATAAATAAATAAATAAATAATAATAATAATAAATAAATAAATATTAGTAAAAATAAAAAATACTACTATACTAATATAATTATGGAGCAACAGTTGAAAAAGAGCTTCTTGACATTATTTTGATAACAAATAATTAATTAAAGACCAAACCGCATTTAATTGCTTTCGGTCCAATATATATGGTCGATATTCATGTAAAATTTTTCTCAAAAAGAATATGTATCATCTTTATTTTATTTTATTTTATTTTATTTTACTTTTTTGGTAATATATATAATAAAATTGAATTCACTAGTTATGGCCAGAATATATTATAAATAGAGGATTTATTGCAGTGTGTGTGTCTATATATATATATATATGATGCATGCTTTCAATTTTATTAATTAATTAATTTAATCAATAACATCGATCCTTTGTTTTCATAAGACTTTCAATTATATGTTTCTTGATAAACAAAATGGAATAGATACGTATACGTAAATTGTTTCATATTCTCTGACAAGAAACAATATTTTATCCATAATATCACACAACTTTTTTATTTGAAAGAACTCTATCCCACCTAGTCAAGGTTGAAGATTAGGTTCTTTTTTAAAGGTAATAGTTAATTAATGCATAAATATCTGTGTGTGTGTGGAAATTATATTAAAGTACCTGAGAGAAAAAGACGAGTGGTATGAGAAGCTTGATGGTTTTGAAGAGCATCCTGAGGAGATGGAAAAAGCTGGCAGACCAAGAAAGCAGTATCTGTTCTCTTTTGTTCTGAGAAATTTGAGAAAATCTCTGGAAGTAGGGAAAAGAGGGTGAAATGCTGGGTAGCCCACACAATACGAAGGTACCAATCCATGTAGACAGCAAATACAGCGACAATCGTATCAACCACTTCTTAGGATGCTGCAACCTTTCACAAATCAACCCTCCCACCTGCACCAGAACTATTTTATATTAATGTACGTACGTAGTCAAAGTTAGACTGAAAAAAGAAGCATACTCTTCACATGTATATAGTTTTTTGCATGGATCCCATCGATCCCAGATGTCAATATATATTTTATTACAATTAGGTAGCTAAAAAGATCATCAGCAACTGCAAAAGCACTGACTATCTTGGTTGCTGCTTGATGCATGATTTCCGTGAAGCTAGAGTAACTACTTTATTAGTCTGATCCGTGAGACGATGACCATCCTAGATCAGGAATAGCCAAATTAATTAAGAAAAACAGAAAATAAACATCGTGTGCCTGCTCTTCTGTACAGTTTTGTACAATGAAAGAAACAGGTTTTAGTAGATTCAAACCTCCTTACTTGATAATTTTTTAATAAATAAATAAAACAAATGGGTTTGTTAGCTAGCCAGGATGTGTCAAACGTACACGTTCAGGAGTTCCGGCCATGGAAGCAGAATATTTATAAAACGTAGACATAATACTGGCCGCGTCGTCGTCATCATCATCGGTTGTGGTTGTGGTTGCGGTGGCGATCATACTGCTGCTATAAATGGATGGGAAGAAGGTGTCGCAGAGAGCAGTAAGGGATTCCATTTCTCTGGAAGAGAGCGAGTTGACATACAAGTGCTGCTTCTCTCCCCCACAAACAGTCTCTGTGTATCAATGCCACCTAAATCAATCACCGTCGATAATACTTCTTGCTGCTCTTCTCTTACTTGATCCATATACTATCTTAATCAATCAATTAATTATCTCACAGAATTATATATATATGTGCAAGCTTACAGCTTAGCTTAGCTTAGTGAATGTATATATATAGAAATAATGTGTGAGCAAGTGGTTGCTTCATGCACACTCGCATACATATACATATATAGAGGAGGGCGATTTTGCTTTTATTACTTCTAAATCCTAACTAAGCAAGGCTAATTAAGTATTAGTTAGTTAATTGCTACTGCAAGTACATGTACGACAGTTGGAGAGCGGAAACGTGGAAGATTGGAGAAACCGACACCTCCAAAGGAAAATCCTGAATTGGATCCCAAATCGACATGTTAGTGTAAGCTTATCCATGCCCCCTTTAAATAGGAATTCATATTCTGAAAAATCCTGGCTTTCGTGCTTTGCTGGGTCTGCGATATCCTTTCAACCAAATTGGGATGATGCATGGCGTCAAGCTAGCAAACTGGCTCCTTGATCATTAATGGCTATCAGCTGCCTGCAACCAATAACTTATGCCCCACTTAATTAATACAACGACACAACTTGGTTCCCTGTCATTGGTTACCAAACTTTACCACTGCCTCAACTTAATCAAGTTCAACTAATTTCTGCCTAGTCTCTACTGTAAAATCAGTCAGCACCAGGCATCACCCCCTGAATATTTCTTTACCTTGACTAGCTATTTGTATTGTCACAGGCACAGCGGAGTGGTCCATGATTAAGGACTTTTATTCTTCTTCTTTTTTTTTTTTAGATTTATATGGCAGAGTCCATATCAATTTTTTTTTTTAATTAAATTCTTCTGAATACATTAAGTTAAAGTGAATAATGTATTTTTAAAGTTGTTTATAAAAAATTAGTATCTATAAACAAATAAATTCATCCAAAAATATCCTGAATATATATCGGATACAATTTGTGTGTGTATATATTATGATCGAATGCATGGTCATACTGTACTCCGTCCGTATGTTAATTGACTCTCATATTTCTCACGATATACATCACAGCAATCATTGCCGTATTATTAGGTATTGAACGGTAGTGATAATTTCTCCATCTTTCTACGCTAGCTACCTAGCTAGTTGTCTCTCCTGATAATGTGATGTGAGCTATATATATATATTAAATTAAATGTGATTTCAATTGAACCAATGTATATAGCTGATTCACAATAATTATTACTTATTTTCTTCTTTATATATAAGTCCTCTCTCTTATGCTTATTGCAGTAAAACATGTTTTATTGTGGAAAAAAATTAAAAAAAGTTGATTATGTGTACGCCGAGCGGGGAAAATAAAGCTAATTAAAATTGTCATACAACAAAGAAATTGAAATTGATGTATAAGTCAGTTTCTAACTAGAAAATTCTTAATTACGACAATTTAAAATATCCCAATAAAAAAAAACTTATAAATAAGACATTGATTTTTTATTTATGAAAACTAAATAAAAACATCATAAGAAGAATACGATGGGTCCTTGCTGATGAAATATATGGCATAAATAAGGAAAAGGACAATACATACCATGCATGCCAAATAAAACATGCTATAATTGAATCCATGATAGTTAGTTACAAATGGAGGGAAAATAGTAAAAAGAGTGTTTCTCATTCATCGAATTATAAATTCCATTTTCACTTTTAATACATATAGCATCAAATATAAATTGTTTGTAGATTTTTTTAAAAAAATCTAGTTCTTAAATTCAATCAAAAACTAAACGTGATTCAGTGCTAATCTAGCCTAAGTATTGATTGGATTTAATGTCTGCAAAAAATAATTCAAAAATATCTCACAACTTATGAACATTAAAAAAAAAAAAAAAAAATTGAATCCACACGGTGGTGTCGAGAAGTATATGTATATAAGAGTTACACGTTAAAAAAGTTGTAAGACATAATGTCATCATAGTGCCTCCCAATAGTGCATCCAAACACATGAAAATGCTACCTCGGATCTGACGAATCAGGAGAAGAGTATAGGTGAGGCTAGCAGATGGAGAGTGTCTCTGAGTGTTCCTTGTCAATCAATAAGGTTAGCAGGTACGGTGTGCATTTCAAAGTAATCCACAGCCCCCAATATTGTTCGTTTTACTTGACACATAACACCAACCTGACGAGGTGCGGCTTGAAGGGAGGGATAATGTGTGGGCTTACGAAAGAGATTTAATAAACTTAATTAGGTAGTTGGCAAATTCAATTATTCCACAAATTAATTAAAATTGTCACCTTTTTTTCATCAATCAATTAACCTTTTCTTATATTAATAATAATAGTAATACTAATAAAAATCTTCTTTTAATTTTATCGTGAATATTTAATTTTTATTTACTAACGAGGTATAGGTGTTTTTGTAAAAGTATGTTTTATTATTATTATTATTATCATTATAAAAGAAATGGTTGAACTTGATATCTCTTGGATAGAGTTGTTAATTACAATTTATTAGCATCTCACCTATTATACGAGCACCGACACATTATTTTTTTTCCAATTTTTCTTTTACTTTCAGCTTATTGAATAGAATATCAAGCATTTAGATAAGCTTCAAGCGTTCATCTTTTTTTTCCTTAGATTTTGAAGTTTTTATTATTATTATTATTATTATGGTGGGTAAAGAATGTATATATAAGTTTTTATTAAGTAGATTTTAAATATGTAACTAATTAGTAGAATTATTTTTATTATAGGATTTTGTGTTTAATAATAATACTTGCATAATTAATTTGATTTTTAATCAAATATTAATTTGTTATTAAACCTGATAACATGAACTTAAAAAAAGTCACTCTTATATCCTAGCTACATGCAGCACCGGAATTGAGATAAATCTCCAAAAAAAAAATTAAGAAAAAAATAAATACTTTATAAAAAACTTGAGATTTAATATATATATATATATATATATATAGTTTTTATCAGAAATATTGGAATTGGTTAAACAGTTTAACACAAATTATATAATATTAATTTTTTATTTTATGTTAACCGATACGGGTAATTTACTAGTAGTGTATATATAGGCAAAGCAAACTGCTATATATGGAAAGAAAGTTGTGAGTATGTAGAGTTGTGTACCTAAAAACGAGGGCCGCATGAACTGACACAATCAATACTGACTATGTAACTGTACTGATGCGATGCATGCAGGGTGGCTATCCATCTTAAAGTAGCTTGGACTTAGAAGAACCCAAAAAGTCAGGCAAAGTGGTTAATGCTACCTATCTTCTTCTTCGTTTTTTTTTTTTTTTTTAATTAGAAATACTTCCTCAGTTGACTATATAATTTGCCATTTTTTATTCATAATTGTTTTTCATTAGAAATTTTGAAATTAGTTTAACAGTACAATTTCCAAATTATAAAAAGAAAATGATGAATATGTATATTTGTTTATTTTATTATGCATAAAGGTATTTGTTTATTTTTGAGTAGTAACCCACATGTAATGTGTGGGTAATCTACGAGTTATCAATTATATTCTATAATTTTAAGGAATTGATTTACGATTTAAAAATAAATTAAAAAAAAGAGTAAATTTTACAGCTAACAGTCAGTAGAAGATGTGTTCTAAAAATCGTATAAAAAGTACTTTGTCTTTATTAATAAATACATTGACTCAAAAATTAATTTACCTTTGAATAAAAAAAATCAATTATATTATATATTCTCATTGACTCATGAATCATGATGCATGCATGCCCAATTAAAGTAAATTAATGTTTCATAATTGCTCAACAATATGTAATATATTTTTTATATGTAGTCGTGTTGACGAATATGCAGTCCACCCTTCATACCTTTTAGCCTGCTGGTACGGTCGTGGTCACCAATTCTTATCTGACTGAAAATTACAAGATATACTGAAACAATATTAGAAGAAACTAAAAGGCATGGGCATTTTACTGTTTTTAAACCGTTCACTTCCTCTAACTGTTTACAGCTTCTTTTTTTTTTTTTTTTTTTTTGCTTTGCATACAAAAGTCCTTCCATTTTCTTCTTAATTTCTGTCATGCCACTCAGTGGAATTATGCAATTTCGCATTTACCCGTGATTGCTTTGCTTTTAATTTGCTTCTTGAGTTTTTTTGGTCATTTCCTTTGTTTCCCAATCATTTGCTTTAGACAAAGCCTTAAATGCTGTCATTCATTGTTTTTATTTATTTTGTTTTTTGTCGCAGGGAAGAATTGCAATCAAGAATAAATTATAAATTGGTCCCTGTTGTTTCGACAAACAAATTAATTAGTTTCTATAATTTTAAAAATTGATTACTTAATTTTATTGGCTATTTTTTCGTCTATTTCGGTTTTTTTTCTTTGCTTTAACATATAGAAAAGAAATAAAAAATAAGAAAAAATATTTCTTTATATCAAAATTTATAAGAATTACTTTTTAATAAATTTTATTTTAATCTATGAATTTCAAATATATTCAATATATTCTTTACAAGTAACTTTTTTAAATATCTTTTATTTTACAACATAGACTCTAAGCCTACTCGATATATTTATAATATAAAAAATTGAATCATTTGTTTTTACCAAAATCAACTATGCAACTATAGCGCTAAGCATTTTACTAGTTATTTATTTATTTATAGATATTTTAAATCAAATTATTTTGAATTAAATATATGAAATTACATAATTAAATCAATTATTCAAATATAATTTTTTATTTAATATTATTGTTTTTTCTTAATAAATATATAAAGAATAATTTTTAATTTTTAATTCTCTTTTTGTTTAAGAATCCATGAATAAAGAAGAATTAATATTTTTCAAGTAGAAATTATCAAAAAAAAAAAAAAAAGAAATAGTTAGATAAAAAAAATTGAATAAAATATTATAAAATTGGATGTTTTTTTTT